GCCAGGAAAACATAACAAAAAACTGAGAAAATCCATAAAGGTCATTTTTATTGTCGTGGCTGCCTTTGTCTTCTCCTGGCTGCCCTTCAATACTTTCAAGCTGCTGGCCATTGTCTCTGGGTTGCAGCAAGAGCTCTCCTTGTCTTCAGCTGTTCTCCAGCTGGGCATGGAGGTGAGTGGGCCGTTCGCATTTGCCAACAGCTGTGTCAACCCTGTCATTTACTATATCTTTGACAACTACATCCACAGGGCCATCGGGCACGTCTTGTGCCCTTTCCTAAAGCAGTCGGACTTTGGGAGCAGCACCGAGACATCAGATAATCACCTCACTAAGGTATTCTCCAACTTTGTTCATTCAGAAGATTTTGTCAGAAGGAGAAAGAGGTCTGTGTCTCTCTAAAAGGCATGCTGACGTTTCTGCTGGTGTATTGGAGGGTTAATTTGAGTCAGTGACAAAGAAAAAAAAATCAGTATTGCGAAAAGTATTCCTGTTTCATAAATATGAGGGGGGGTTATTTTGTAAACAGGTGACTAAAAAGTCCCTGTGTCTCTGGATATATTAGGGTGTATGATTTCTTTTTTTCAGTTGAGTGGACTTATTTGACCCTTATAGGTCAAGTTCACCAGAAAGAATATAACACTCCTATATGGCCTTGAGCTCTACAAAAAAGACTCCTGCCTGGACTTATCCCTCTTTTAATTCATGATTGTTAATATATACATTCAGCTCTTTTCCTCTCTCAGGCTCTGTAGTACCTTGCATATGCCATCCTTTGTATTAAGCTTCTAATAAGACTACATTTAAGTGATTCACTGCTTGTTAATGAAGGTAACAAAAAAATATAATGTAGCTAAGTGCTGCAATCAACTGTTCTTGATAACAAAGTAAGATTCTGGCCATCTATGGGATTCTTTATCTTCCAGCATTCTTCCTGTGCCATTCATAATTACTTTGAACTGGCAAAAACAAATGGAACTTCATAATTTGGGATTTGATCAGTTGGGTTTCTAAAGTATTTTCACAAGTAAGCATAGGGCAAGGTTTGTAAGATGTCTAGCTCATTTCAATAGTATAGTAACTGGGCCCTCCCTGGTGGTGCAGCAGGTTAGGAGGCAGCACTGCAAGCTAGCACAGTAGCTTCAGTGTGGGATGGATCCCTGGACCCGGAGGTGACACACATGGCACAGCAGATCTCTCCTATCTTGCCTGTATCAAACAGCCTGTTCTGCTCCCTACTCTGTCTCTGGTGAATCCTCTCACTGCCCTGAACTGCTGGCCTGTACCCCAGTTCTGTATGCATAAGTAAATAAATCTTTAAAAAAACAGTATAGTGACAACTTTTCAGTGGGATTTTTACTATGCTCTTTTGTTTTTATCACCTTTACAAATTAGGATATGACTTTGCTTTAATTACATGTTTTTAATTATCCAGTTATCTTGTTATCAAATGAAAATGTTACTAATAACATAATTGGAGTCATCAATTTTACATGTAATTGCTACACCCACATGTAAATTATTAGTTTGCATTTTAATTAAAATGTTAGTGCTATACAATCTCTCTAGCATCATTTGCCTCGTGTATATAATTTTAAGAGTTGATCCAGGAAAACAAGAAGACAATATATTCTGCATTCAAATGAAGTGAGAAATCTATAATAAAGATGTTTTTGGTGCTTTATATACATTTTTCCAAACCCAGAGACCTCCCTAAATTCCTTTAACCAATAAATATTCATTGAGTCAACTTGCACACATATAACAACTTTTCATAGAAAAGAGGGCCCAATTACTATACTATTGTAATGAGCTAGACATCTTATTGTAATGAGCTAGACATCTTTTACATAGAAAAACATGTAGTTAGTGTCAGCCACAGAAGGTTTTGTAGAAGACACTATTGTAAACATCTTTTGAAGTTTTAATGTCAATGTGAAATTATTGAGCTATGATTTTCCCCTGGAGTGTTGACTCAAATAAATTACCATTTTACTTCTGAACATTGCTTGAAAATCAGAGGAAACTTAGAAACTTTTCAGAAACAAAGTAATTCAAGTTCAGCCTATGTTGTGTATCTTTTACATTCCTAAAAGAAGCCTTTTTATGCAAATCACTGATAATCTGTTTAAAAGTTAGCAATAATGTTTTGAGCTTTGTAAAATATTGTGTTAATTTCTCTTATGTCATTAAATAAAAATGCAAGTTATGTATTACTAAGTATTCTGTGTAATAATAAGTATTCTACTATGTTGTGTTAATTTCCAGTAACATAAAATTGTAATACTGATATTCTAAGAGTTGTTTAATAATTATATTACAGATATAGGGGGGAAAGACAATGTAAAATGATGGGAAATAAAGTTCCTGGGAAAATTTAGGAATTGATTTCAAAGCAATTAAATAGATTTCCAAAGAGGAAATTAAATAAAATGCATAGAGATGGTAAGAACTCATGTATTTAAAAAAAAATAAAAGTCCATAAAACACATTTATTGTGAAAGTTATTGCCTTTGAGAATTGCTTTCTTGACAAAATAGTCCAATAAATTAGCTAGGTATTTGTTAGGAAATAAAAAGATATAGGTAAATAGATTTAGCTTCATCCTAAATGCTGGGAAATTAAACAAGTCATTTTATCTTTCATACTTAAAAGTGGTAATATGTATCTCAATAGTATTCTCAAAGATACTGTAAAACTAATAAAATAAATTAAAGATTTTTAAATATGGGGTAAAAGTACTATATAAAGCAATTGGTTTCTATTATCACTGAATGTTTCTTAAAAATTTCCAAATTAGAGTAGCTTATAATTCTTTTTTTAATAATTTTTAAAAATTTATGCATACAGAACTGGGGTATAGGCCAGAGGAGCAGGGGCGGTGAGAGGATTCACCAAAGTCAGATTGGGGAGCAGAACAGGCAGATTGACAAAGTACAGTGCTGAGGGGAGCAGCAGGTGAGGCGAGAGAGGTCTGCACCACGTGGGTCACCTCTGGGGAGGGCGTCCAATCCCACCCAAGAGGTCTCAGCCAGCTCCACATACTGTTCTCCAACCCGCTGCACCACCAGGGAGGACCCAGCTTATAATTAATAATCATTCTCATTTAA